GAGAAAGTTTATCCCTATAAAAAAAAAAAAAAAAAAATGCGCCAATTGTTTTTACCTATATATTTATATATAATTTACATTTATGATCGAGGGGATTATAAATTCCTGGAAAGAAAAAGTAAAAAAATGCAAGAATGCTATTGATGATTAATGCCGTATTTGCTCTCCGCGTTAGAGATGAGCGCGAGTAATCGTTTATAATGCGGAATTTAAATAACATAGAGAGACAGAGAGAGAGAGAGAGAGAGGGAGAGGGGAGGGGGAGGTTTCCGCGACAATTGCCGTTGCAAAATCCAACTTGGGGGAAGGACTCGCTCGCTCTCTCCTCGTCGGACGGAAAGGAATTAGGTGGGAAATTATTTAAATTATTCCTTTCCAATGGGTGACAGGTCGTCGGTGGTGGCGGCGGCGCGGGATCGTGGAAGTGACGGGGCGAAGTGAGGATGAACGCGGCCACCACCGCCAAGGAGGACCACTTAATAAAGAGCCGCTGACAGCGTGACAGTAAAGTAACTTCGTTCGCCGGAATTTAAAATTAGATTCATAAAAATTATTCTAATAGATTCTCTCTCTTGCTAGCTGGCTGGCGGAGTCGCCGCGCAAAGCAAATGAGGCAAATTCGATTTGACACGCGGGCCCGTTCCCGCATTCTTCTTCGGTTCCTCCACAACCTCTCACCGTCCGCCTATCCATCCTCTCTTTTCCCTTATCGTCACCTTTCTTTTCTTCTCTCTCTCTCTCTCTCTCTCACTCTCATCCGCATCTTTCTCCCCCGGCGACGGCCTTGTCTCTCGGTTACCACGAGGTTATCCTTCGCGAAAGGAGCGCAGCAGTAGCGAGGACGAGTTATGCAAATGCCGACAATAACCGAACGTCAATCAAGGAGAAAGTTAACTTCCGAGGATATGGCTGCTGCTGCTGGTGCTTCTTCTTCTTCTTCTTCTTCTTCGGAAGAAGGAAGAGGCCCGAGAAAGACGGGGGTGGCGCGAATAAGTGTTCCCGTCTATATAAATTAAGGGAAACCGATGACGGGGCTGCCTGCCCGCGAGGACGAGCTCGTTCTTCGCGCCACCGCGACAGCCGGAGGACGGCTCCTTCGAATGTAATTTAAAGTTTGTCAGGCCGGAATCCTTCGCGCGAAGGGCAAAAATGACCTCTCAAAGCGGCGACTTCGAGAAGAACCGCCTGGATTCTATCTTAGACAATACGGTGGATTTATTTCATTTTGATATACATATATCAAGGATTTCATTTGACATCGTTGAGGTGCTCGTTAAAAATTATTATCAAAATTTAATCAATCTTTTTACAGTATTTAATAATATATTAACAATTTATAATAATTAGGAATAATAAATAATAGGAAGTTAATAAGAATTTTGAGTAATAATTTAAGATTTTCTAAAATTTTGTTCACAATTTTATAGATTTTTATCTTTTAATTAATCAGATATTTAATATGATATCGCGTTATAATCATATAATAATAACTCTTACAATATTTTATCTTCATTCTTAATTATTGTGGTATCAAATGTAACTATAAAGAGAGAGAGAAAGAGGGAAAATGTTTGTATGTGTGTGTATTAAGGGGTCTTCCTAGTTTGACACTCTGAAAATAAGGCAATTTTTGGGAATTTTTTTGGAAGAGAAGTATAAAACATATTAATTCTAAACTCTGCACGTTTATTAAATAATATTTCAAATACATCCTGAATTTTTTTTAAGCAGAAATATTTATTTGTTTCGGAGTTATAGTAGTCCAACCAGGGTGTCTAAAAAAAAATTGTTGTTCGTGGCGAACATGATCCCAGCCGTTATAGTGTGTCATCTGAAATTAAAAAACCCCAAAAATCTTAATCTGTATGAGTGTAGCTATTGCGTGAACCAGAATAAAAAAAAAATATTGAAAAATAAAAAAATGGCAGCGTTTCAAAAAAAAATTTCATTTTTCACCAAAAAATTGATTAGTTTTGTAAGTCGCAAAATTCGAATTTTGCAAATATCAATTTAATTCTAATTCACACGATAGCCACGCTCATACAGATTAAAAATCTTTTTGGTTTTTTTATTTCAGATGACTATAACGGCTGGAATCATTCATGTTCGCCACAAACAACAATTTTTTTTTTAGACGCCCTGGTTGGACTACTATAACTCCGAAACAAATATTTTTGTTTGAAAAAAATTCAGGATATATTTAAAATGTTATTCAATAAATGTGCAAAATTTAGAATTAATATGTTTTATACTTTTCTTTAAAAAAATTCCCCAAAATCGCCTTTATTTTCAGAGCGTCAAACTAGGAAGACCCCTTAAATATATAGATGTATTTTAGATTTTCGAATCAAATATATTTCCGATAGAATTGTTGCCAAATATTTGTTATAAATCGCGATAACCCTAATTGATCGGGGCAATAAAATTAAAATTGGATGAGCACCCGATCGCGTTTCTACTCGAGAATATTTAGCGCTTTCCAGGATACGTAATCGAGCCAGTTAAGGAGGTAAGGATCTCGGTTTTCACGGCGTTTGAAGCCGAGCTGCAAATAAGCGACATAATTAGTGCAGAAATTAAGCCAATTAGTGCGAAGGTGGCGGCCGTTTGTTGCGCGTGGGTTAAACGGAGAAAAGGGGTAATTTAAGCTACCCGTGACGTTTATCCCCGAAAATAAAAGCCGCGTAATTTGCGCTTTACGGAGGTGCATTCGCGGTCTGCGCTTCTCGACTTTCGCGATGCAAAATCTGCGGGGAATTATGACATCTCCATACGCGCGTTAATTTACCACGAGTGCGCGTTAATTTACTGCACAAATCTCTCAAAGCAATGTTACTCATTCTCTCTTGTTCGCGGACGATCGTTTTAATTCGCTCGGCCGTTTTGCGTTTTGATCCGATACGAACAATTTAAATTGACATCGCATTAAAAACACTACTCGCGAGCAAAATTCACGAGTTAAGCCCGGTATTTCGCGGACTGCTCGTAAATTATAATCCGATATGAAATCCACACAGAGTCATGATATCGCACTCGACATACGTGCTAATTAACATTACATTTACGCGGAAGAGCCCCACCGTGGAAAATAATATCCAAAATGGAGTAACGTTGACGAGCGAATAAAACAGTATTTCATATTATTTCTCAGAGCAGAGAATGTTTCTCACAAATTATACTTTGACCAACCATTTCTTATCTAAATATAATCACGATCCGAATATTAAGTTTTACCAGTCAAAATTTATTGTAATTTTGTTTAAATTTTTCTTATGTTATTGCACTTTGCTTCAATTTAATCTATCATTTAGCTATACCATTTTTTTTTTTCATTGGTAAAAATATTCACGACGCAATATCTATACATATGAATTGTTATCATCCAATCGATTTTATCTTTAATTAATGTTAATATTTTCGACTTCTCTTAAAACAATTTCTTTTATATAACCCGAGAAATTTTTTTCGCTTTTAGCACATAAATTATTTCATTTGTGGAAGGAGGTGAGAAATAATATCTTATTTCTCTTTCTATAATTTTTATCGTATTTCTATCAAATCTATAAATTCATAAAATTCATATCACTTTGAATCTACAACGTGACAAAATTTTGGCCGCCACTGTATACATTTCCACGAACGGATAAGAAGGAATCGCGAAGCGCATCCTTCCGATATCCCGTGCCATGAATCCCCAACTTTACAAGCCGTATACACAAGATAGCCGATTTATAACGCTCCGCGGAATGATCGCGACAGCAATAGGAAGTTCGAATCGCCGGGTGTCCATCGTAGGGCGACCGTCCGACGTATTTCCGGTGCGGGAAAGTAGCCTGTTGGCATCGTCGTCGACGCACGATTGGACCATCGTCCACTCCTCTTCTCGCCCCGCGAAACCGACGACGACGGCTTCTTGCCAAAATCGGGGGGG